GGAAAGCATGGGTTTTGCCTGTAAAACAATTTGTGTGGTTATCAGGAGATTCCCTAGCTCACATTTGTATTTGTACTGCAGATTAAAAATCATTACATTCTGAAATGGTGTTAAATTTTTACGCTGGGAAATAGTTGTGTTTTGTTTTTTTGTGAGTTTCAATTTAATAATCTTCCAGTAAACATGGCGCTTAGGGGATGTAGACCTAATCAGGGGCTACTCTGGCTTTTTGCTTTCACTAGCCCACCCATTTGAGAATTTGGCCCTCAAACTCAATCATTGGCACAAACTACAGTTGCCAAATGAAAGTCCTGTAGCACTTTGTTAAGCAGGGTGATCCTTGTCTAATCTGACCAGATGTTACTCAATTTTGGAAATAATAAAGCTAGAAATATCAGAAATATGGAAGCAGTCCTCAATATATTAAATATGTTAACAGGACAACTACAGTAAAGTATCTTCAGGATGAACTCGCTGTCTAATGAAAGATTGTACTGTATATAAGTGAGACATAGATGAAGAGCTTGACAATAGAAAGAAATTAATGAAGTTGGCTTTGGTCTTGAAGCATATGGATTCTGAGATCAGCCTGCCACCAAGTGGACTGATTTTGTCTTGCATTTTGTTTATAAAAGTAAGCATGTTGAAAGTGAATGGAGCAGTGTAGCTATACTGAGTGAATATTTCTTAACTTGGCAATAATGCTTTAAATAAAATCTGTGTGGAATTTTTGTAGAACCCATACAGCACAGTCTGTTTTCATATGCCCCACCCATTTCATGGGCTCTTGAAACTTTTATTTCCCTCTAACCCTTGGTTAAGTGTGCATATTTTGTATTATAATTCACAGGGCTCTTACCTATACTGTATATATTTATGTATCTTGTACAGAGGTGGGGGAGTGTTGGTCTTCTCCAGTACCTCTATGCACCCACAGGTTTTACCTATTTTCACCATAGCTGAAGGTGAGGGTTGATCATACTGCTTATTTATCCTCTGAATTCTTGGTTTGGTAAGAACTGTGTGGATTCTAATGTTTGCAACACATATTTAATTTATTCCTTATTTGTCATCCATGGAATATTATTCAATAAACATCTAGTTGTTACAATAAATCATATTAAATGTATTCCTTATTTGTCATCCATGGAATATTAGGCTGAAATCTGTTGCAGAAGAATTCATTTTTGTTGGTATGGTGTCTATTCAGGGTCACGTAATAATCTCAAGCTTGTATAAAACCTTGTTATTAGGGACATAGTCTTGGAATAAAATATTACTTATCATGAAGATAGCTGTTGTGGTTGAAATTATGTGAGTTTGATGCAGCAAGCATGTTAGCTGCCATTTCTTTCTGCTTTCATATATTTGATAGCTGAGACCAGCTCTTTTGAGTTTAATTAGTGTAAAATTTCAGCAGATTGTTTACTTTGAGGCCATGCAACAGTCTTAGCCAGACTTTTATCCCATCACTAAAGAGCTGTAGCCTGTAATACAACCTCCAGCTTTGATTATTAAACTAGCTAAATTCTGATTTAATTATTGCGGTTTTTCTTGACTTCAATACATACATTCACATAGTCAAGTGTTGACCATCCTTGGTAAGAAATATAGCCCAACAGATTCAGAAGGCATCTGATTGGGATATCCAGTATATCCCAATGTGCCAAATCAGGCCCGAAGGCATGTTGTAGTCATGTGGTCTTCTATACACAGACTCAGAAACAAGTCCCCCTGAAACCCATACAGTAATTTAAGATTAGAATTGTGCCAGCCTTAGTTTTTTGTCCCCATACTTTCCTAGTTGCAGGCATTTAGTTTTCTAAAGTTTACTTAGAATTTAGCTTATAATTTAGTTTGGGATGTGGATAGAGAGAGATCCTGAATAAATATGTTGATCTCCTTTTCAGCCTAGGAATCAGGGCCAAGCCTTCTGACCTCTAGGCATTGGGAAACTAATGAGAAGTTCAGAAATCGCTGGCCTCCTGAAACAATATTAATTTGCTACAAGCCAAGCCTAAGATGACATACTGTATTTCATAACTTGGATGTGTCTTTGTTTTAGTAACTGGCATGCAAATGAACGCCGTCTTTTGTAATTATCAGCAGTGTACAACTAAACTCGCTGATAGTCCCATGTGTTACTAATTGAACGGCAGAGCAATCAGGCTTACAGGTAGCTACATAGAATAAGTAAATGAATGATCCAGTTACAGGGAGCTCATGTGAGCCTGCTCTCTGCAGTAAGAAGGATGTATTTTTTAAAATAAACTGCTGGAAGTTTAAATATATTTGACCCCAGATCCCTAGTTAAGACACTTGGGAGTACTGTTGCTGAATAGGCTTTATCTCTTAATTTCATTTTGTGTCTCTTCCACATTTAGGTTCATACTAAGGAAAATGGCTGCCTCTTCCTCATCATCTTCAGCTGGTGGAGTTAGCGGGAGCTCTGTGACTGGATCTGGATTCAGCGTCTCAGACCTTGCTACACCGCGGAAAGCTCTCTTTACCTACCCTAAAGGAGCTGGAGAAATGTTAGAAGGTAATTGCTGTAAATATCTGTCTTCTGATTCAAGGGAACTCTAAAGACTGCATATGATTTGATACCTGTATGTGTTCTATATTGGCTTCATTACTGCAAAATAGATTCCTCTTTGCACAGGTGAGAAAAGTTGGAATAGTCAGACTAATTTTGTCTGCTCAAAAGAGTCTGCTTAAGTTAGGCTGAAACAAGATAGTCTAATTGTCCTGAGCTGGACTGCACTAAAATGTGCTAAACAGCATGGCTTTGAGGGGCAGTGTGCCATTTGGAGCAACCCTTACATTCTCATGCAGTAATCGGGTGGTTTGGGGGCAAGAAGCCACGCCACACTTCAAACAACCTCAAACACCCAAAAAGGTGCAGATAGGCATGGATCAGGGGTGCACTACTTCACAGTTGCCCATACGTCATGTGATTGCTGGGAAAAGGAGCAAACAACCTGTCCCTAAACCAGACCAGATCCCCACCTGATCACACCCTTATTTTTTAGGGAACAGATCCTATTGAATTTGGAGGACTTTATTTCTGAATAATCCTTCTTATGATTGCTCTACATGGAATGTATTCTGGTACAGTACACTAGCTTGGTGATCTTCTGCTTATATTCAACTGACACGGGAACTGGACTGAGTTCATTGCAATAATCCATACTAATTCTAGACAACACTCTGGTGACATTTCAGCCTAGAGGTTTCTTACATATTGTTTTCATTATGCATATTTGAAACTCTATCCCAAGAATTACTCAAGTTAACTACAAATGATGCTGAAAATTATTAAGAGTTGCCAAGTATTGACCAGGAGATTCTCTGTCTTGAACTCCTAAGCACTTAAGAGCTGCCACAGCACCATTTGTGCAAATGGCCCCTTGACTCATCTTTCCTCTCCTGCCTTCAGTATCAAACTGAAGTTGTCATGCTGTGCAGCTGGCAAGAGAAAAGGATGATCAAATGGACAAAGGTAGAGGCAACACTGCTGCCAAGCTCTTAACTTTTGCCATTGGCATCTGTAATACTGTCCTACTTCTGAAGACTGGGGCAGGGACCAACTAGAAATGCAGATGTATCCCATTTACAAAGGAGTTGCCTTTGTTCTGATTGCCAAAGAAAGAAGCACAATTCCTGACACGGGAACTGGTTTGAGTTCATTGCAATAATCCATACTAATTCTAGACAACACTCTGGTGACATTTCAGCCTAGAGGTTTCTTACATATTGTTTTCATTATGCATATTTGAAACTCTATCCCAAGAATTACTCAAGTTAACTACAAATGATGCTGAAAATTATTAAGAGTTGCCAAGTATTGACCAGGAGATTCTCTGTCTTGAACTCCTAAGCACTTAAGAGCTGCCACAGCACCATTTGTGCAAATGGCCCCTTGACTCATCTTTCCTCTCCTGCCTTCAGTATCAAACTGAAGTTGTCATGCTGTGCAGCTGGCAAGAGAAAAGGATGATCAAATGGACAAAGGTAGAGGCAACACTGCTGCCAAGCTCTTAACTTTTGCCATTGGCATCTGTAATACTGTCCTACCTCTGAAGACTGGGGCAGGGACCAACTAGAAATGCAGATGTATCCCATTTACAAAGGAGTTGCCTTTGTTCTGATTGCCAAAGAAAGAAGCACAATTCTAGTGCTATTCTGCAGGACCCTAATCCTCAAACATTATAAAATATTTTATTTGTACATGTAGTTTGTCCATTCTTTAGTTACTCAGATTGGTTGGCAGTATAATTACACAGGAACAAGATCCCCAAGTATGTTTGTAACAAATGGCATTGTTGGTAGGAATGCTTTTGAATTGCATAGTTGGTCTTGAAAAATAAATGATTATATATGTGATGCCTGGTTATGTTAAATGTATTATTTATGTGGTAAAGGTAAGGGCATTGTTTGAAGTGCTGTGGTATGGTAATTATGTGATGGGAGGGGGTAAGTGAGGCACATGGAATGTAGGCAAGAATGGTTCTGGTTGCTGGGAGAAGCCGAGGGAGTGGAGTGTTGGTTACGTGTTTGGAGCAGTCTGAGGTAGAGAGAGTGGGGAGAAGGTGAGTTTGAATATAGGAGAACTGGGATTTTGAAGGAGAGAGAGTGAAGAACTGTGCCAGATGGGTTTGAAGTCTAGGAATAAACAACATGTTATTGACAGTGATCTTTTAATAAAATCTTATTAGTACTATTCAAGCTGAGTGGTGCTGAGTTCAACAGCTGTGAGATGGCCATATGGATAGCGTTGCAAGGCCTGAGTGAATGGAGCTGCATGGATTTTTGTTTCTTCAGCAGCAAACACATGATAGCTAAAATCTTTTTGGCACAGCTGTGCAAGTCTGATGAGGTCATCAGCCAGGCTTCACACACACACACAATTAAAAGTTTCAGCACACATGCACACGTGTACATACAGTTCCAAGGCTCTCTAGGGATCTTTTTCATCATAGGGATATGGGGGGGGGCCTCAGGATGGGAGGAGTCTTTAATATCTGCAATTCACTGGTTTGGGACATTAAAGACACTCGTCCCACCATTGATGCCCCAATCCAATAACTGTCAGAACCTGTTAATAAACCTTTCTTAGAAAGATTATAATAATACATTGTCTCATAATTGAGAATTGATATAGATAATATAGAATATAACATTCATAATCTTTATTCCATAATGGAGAGCTTGCGTGGTATAGTGGACAGAGCACTGGATCAGATCATGAGACATGGGTTCAAAGTGCTGCTCAGCCATGGAACCTCAGTAGGGGAGGCAATGGCACATTACTCCTTGGAACATCTCATGTGCCTTGAAAACCCTATTAGTGTCCCCGTTAAGTTAGAAATGACATGACAGCTCATGGCAACAAATTCCACAATGAGGTCTTTGATTTATGACATATTTTGATTAAAAGTCCCGTAAGTTAGAAATGACATGACAGCACATGGCAACAAATTCCATAATGAGATCTTTGATTTATGACATATTTTGATTAAAACTGTAATGATAAAGGGCTTTTTTAAAAGCAAAAAACATTTTAACAAAAAATGTGAATCTGATTTTTATTTTCCTTTTAAGTCATTTATATTTATCCACTGTACTCCTACCCAATACACCCAGTATTGAGAGGTATGAAAGCTACAGTTCAAAACACTCTTGTTCATGGTCTTTTGTCTGAAATAATAGGTGTGCAGTGGAGGTGTGAAAATCAAAATGTACTCAGACCCCACAGAGTACTGTATGTGACTTGCTTGCATTTAAGATGCAGCTTTTGAATTTCAGTCATCCTATAGTCATACTTTAATCGTGAAGTCTGGACATTTACTTAACAAAAAGCTAGGATCGGCCTCCTTGATAAAGCCACAGGAAGTGAAAGTATAGGATATTCAAATATATTGTTGTTTATTCTGCTTTCATAAGAGACTGCTGAATTTATTCATGTTCTGTGCAGAACTCAGGAAAAAAGTGTTCTGTGTGTGCAGTTTATATTGGTACTTTACATGAATGGCTGTCATGTTGCACTATTTATGTTCTGTATCAGAATGCTAATTAATGTATACATAGTATATACACACTTTAGTGTTTGTATTCCAAACTATTGGATTAATTAAGGTTAAGTTCTTGTTCTTGAGGTTAATGAGCCTTTAGGACCAATTAAAACCCAATGATTTTGTTGGACTATATCTCCCATTGGTCCTACCCATTGATGAGGGATGGTGGGATATGTAGTCTAATAACATCTGGAGAACCATAAGTTGCTATATCCAGGTACATTGGTGCCTCGCATTACAATGTTAATTTGTTCCAGTGAAATCGCTGTAGAACGAAACCATCGTAAAGCAAAATTTAAAAGCCCATAGAAATACATTAAAACTTGTTTAATGCGTTCCGATGGGCTTAAAACTCACCGTCCAGCGAAGATCCTCCATAAGGCGGCCATTTTTGCTGCCTGTCTTGCGAAGAATCCATCCCTAAACACAGCGGGGAACCATTTTATTTCCCTGGTGGCCATTTTGAAACCGCCAATCAGCTGTTGGAAAATCGTCGTTTTGCGAAGAATCGGTTCTCGAAGCAGGGAACCGATCATCGCAAAGCAAAATTCCCCCATAGGAAACACAGTTTTGCGATCGCAAAAAGTTCATCGTAATGCAATTTCATCGTTAAATGAAGCAATCAGAACGCGAGGCACCACTGTATCATGTTTACTTGTTCTTAATGGAACACGAGGCACCACTGTATCATGTTTACTTGTTCTTAATGGCAGCAGTGTAGAGTAAAAGTGGTGCCTCGCAAGACGAGCACTCCGTTCGTAGAGTAAAATATGACAGAGTACAGTGGACCCTCTACTTAAGGAATTAATCCGTATTGGAATGGTGGCTGCAAGTCGAAAAGTCTGTAAATCGAATCTCCATTGACCTACAATGCACTGAAAACCGATTAATCCCATAACCAGTGGTTTTTATTCTATTTTTATTCCATTTTGGTTTTTTTCTGGTCTGTAAGTCGATTCTCTGGCTGCAAGTCGAATCTAAATTTTGCAGCCAGAGAAGTCTGTAACTCGAAAAGTCTGTAAGTCGAGCCGTCTGTAAGTCGAGGGTCCACTGTACCCTCTGCAAGACGAGCGCTCCGTTATACGATGAAGTTTTTGTGATTGCAAAATGATGTTTCCTAGGGGGGAATTTCGCTTTGTGATTATCGGTTCCCTGCTTTGGGAACCGATTCTCGCAAAACGACGATTTTCCTACAGCTGATTGGTGGTTTCAAAATGGCCGCTGGGTAAAAAAAATGGCTGCCCGCTGTTTTCTGGGACGGATTCCTCACAGCACGGGCAGCGAAAATGGCCGTGCTATGGAGGATCTTCGTTGGACAGTGAGTTTCAAGCCCATAGGAACGCATTAATCAGGTTTTAATGCGTTTCTATGGGCTTTTTAATTTCGCTTTACAATGTTTTCGTTCTACAGCGATTTCGCTGGAACGAATTAACATCGTAATGCGAGGCACCACTGTACAGTGTAG